TCATCATCCCAAAGCAGATTCTTCCCATTGTTATGAGTATGACTGCTTTGTATTCTGTTTTCCTCTCTCTCTATGGAGTAGAACCCTTCTCTCACTTGGTTATGAAGAACCCTAGTTCCATGTGTTAGGGATTTGATTGTAATGACTTGGGATGATTATATTGTTTGGTTTTAATCAAATGATGTATGTTTTATTGAATTGATTGAAGTCTGATCAGCTTTTCTTGATTTCTGCTGCAACATGAGATAGATAGAATCTGATTAGGTTGTTAGAGCTTCTTCATTCGGTAGTAGGAGATTAGCTATACGAGAGTTAGCCAGTTTACTGCTTTGTACTGGAATCCAATTCCAGTAGTGGAGTTCTGTGCTTATTGCTTCAGCTTTCTATCCCGATGAAGACTAGTCGTCTGTCGGGTAGTTAGACTGAGAGGGCTTGGTCAGCTTAAGAGATTCCAAGCTACTGTCGGATCTTCCGCAGTCTAATCAACAGTAAATCAACCCAGGATAATTACAATTGAGACCTAACTAAGGAGCTAGGGGGACTCATTCCCGAGTGACTCTTCTTTGCTTGAGAAAACCGAACCAATTCCTGCTTTCTTACTGCTTTTGCTTAAAACAACAATCACTTGACTTAGTTGGCTAGATAATAGAGAATCACGGAGTAGGCAGTAGATCTAGACCCCGGGTTGATAATAGAACTTGCCACTTTACTGCATTCCCGGACTGCGATTACACTTGGTCGCAGTTTGGTATTGTGTTTTGGCGTATCAGACGGCTACACGGAGCCTCTAGAAGGGGAAGGGGAACAGCGGGTGGACGTTGGCCTGGAGGGACTGCTTTGAACTGGTCGTCAAGAGTCACAATAGGGGCCTCGGGTTTCTCTGGTAGTGGTGGAGGCACAAGCCGTTCCTTGACCAGAGGTGGTTTCGACAGTGGCCATCGGCGGATCCAGAACACAGTAGAGCACTGGGCCGCATTTCAATATAATATTATATACCGTAAATAAAAATAGTCAATATTTTTAAATTTTAGTATTTCAAATAAAAAAATAGTTACAAGATTACCAACGATAACAGACAAATGACTAATATTTTGATGAGTTACAAAATATTTAGCTAATATTTTGTATTTTGAAAGGTTTGGCTAATAATTTGGAAAGTCTAAAAGGTTTAACTAATAAATTGTCTTTACTCAAAATTAGTTATCACATATTTCATTGCTTAAAATGTTCTCTCCATGGTAGCCGCTGAAACGGGACAGGTCAACACTAAACGAATCAGCCCACAAATCAATTTGTTTAGAGAGTTTTCTTATTTCAATGAAACTTTATACATTCTTTTACATTTTAGACTTTTAGGTTTTATTGTTTTTTTTTTCAAATGAAAATCATTCGGGCTAGAATTCCTAAACTAAATTGAGAGTAATGATTTGCATATGTTCATCTATACCATTTTTCCAATTACACAAAATTATTATCAAATAACACTCGACCAACCATTAAATAATATTGGGCCGAATACCTAAATCGAAAAATTTATAAGCTCTATACTAGCTCTGGATCCGGCGGAGGGCTGGGCCGTGGCCCGGGTTGGCCCAGCCCTAGATCCGCCGATGACAGTATTAGATCCGCCGATGACAGTGGCGGTGGTGGAGGAAGGGGAGTAGGTGGTGGGGGTTGGCAATATAAAAAGTTCCTAACCTCGGTGATTTTTGTACTCAAATCTAAAGAATATAATTAAGACTTTCTCATTAAAGCCCTCACCATTTCAAATTTCGTCTTCGTTCATGTTTCCACGTCAGCACTAAACTAACCATTCATAATCGGGTAAATGCCACATTTGGTCACTAAAATTACTAAATCATATCCTGTTTAATAAAAAAAATTAATATCAATTTTGGTCACTCGAATTAATGAAATTTTCACATATAGTGACTCTCCATTTTCAATAATCAATAATTTTGGTCACTATGATTATATGTGATAAGAACAAATACCAAACCTCGAGTACTGAAGTATTGTTTTCAATAATCCGTAATTCAAAGTTGGGACTTGGGAATGGAATGTTTGTCATAGAATATTGATATGATTGATGCGGCAAAGACTTAATTATTTGTATATAGATATAAATGAATAAACATGTACAGATCATACTTAATTTCAATAAAATTATTAAAAAAAACACTTAATTCTGTACAATGGGCTTTTATTCGTTCCCAATATCAAATAAAATATTGAAAATATTTTCATTAGTTGAACTGAAAGGATTATCACATATAATCATAAATTTTAGTTACAAACTTTGCAAGAAATGCGTATGAAGAAAAAAATCCATAAAACAGGATGTAAACTAGATTTGTTGGGAATAAATAGGAGCTTAATATATAATAGGAAATCAAGTTGCACAAGAGTGCGACAATATTGACAATTAAGAGTTAACTACTTTTACAAAGCAACATGTATAAGGTTCATACACTCATGATCAAATCTATTAACTAAGGGAAGACAAGGTTATCAAACTAGTTTATATTGTCATATCGATTTATCAAGTGAAATGATCTGATTAGCATAGAAAATGTTTATTTAGTTTATGCTAATTTTAACAAAATACGTAAAGAAATTAGGAAATAGTTATACGCAATTGAATTATGTACATATATATAAAAAACATATCTCAACACAATCTCCCAAATTACATCCATTTAAATAATATAAAGGGTTAATACCCTAGTTTGGCCCGAAGTTTAGCGTTAGTGACAGTTCTGGCCCCATTTTTCAAATAAGACATTTGTGGCCTACTTTAGAAATTATTGGACAAATTTGGCCCGAGAGACGGTTTGACTGTCAGAATTAACGGTCAACTATTTTCCCATCACTGACTCAGCATTTGCCACTGACTGGGCTTGTCCACATCATTTACAAATAAAATAAAATAAAACAAATAATAATAACAAATGAAAAAACTGAATTACAGAGAAGGGGTCACGTGGACCACTAGCTCTTCCCCTTATTCACTCCATCGTTTCTCCTTCCCCCAGTCGTTCCCGAGCGGCCGACGATTCTTCCGCCTCTCCTTCTTCTTCGCCAGCTCCAATCATCACCGCCCTCCCCTTGGGGTCAACCGCCAAGTACTGACCAGGAACTATCCTCCTGCATTTGGACTTCCCAAATGTCTCCGGGTGAACTTTATCAAACACACTCTTCTCCTTGTTGTACTTCAAAATCACAATCCTCCCGGAATCAGAACCAACGACGATTTAATCCTTCTGAGATCCAGTAAGTTTGAATTGAGCGAAAGAGCAAATAGCACCGAATATTTCGATGAAAAGAATGATTTGGAGCCTACCGGTGTCGTCGGGACGGAGGAGATCGAGAAGCTTTCCACGCGCAACGACGATCTCTTGGAACTTCCTGCCAGAGAAGCTTTCGTTAATGGCGGCCACCACACCGATGGGTCGCTGAGGTGTTATTCGGTGGGCAAGTGGAAGAAAATGGGAGGGGTGGGTGTTGATTTGCTCGGCCGCAGAAAGCAGGGAAGGGCTAGCAGCGGCGGGGGAAAATGGGAGTTGGAGGTGGCGGCGGGTGAAAGTGGGAGGTGGAGGTGGTCGCAGGGATGGGTGGGTGGTAGGGTTGAAAATGGAATGGGGGGATTAAGTGGGCTCCAAATTAATTTACTTGTTTTTCCATGTTTTTTTTCATTTTAACATAAAAAAATTATGTGCAAATGATGTGGCAGCCATGTTAGTGCCACCTCAGCACTGAATACTGAGTAACTGACGGAATAAATGTTTGACCGTCAATTTTAACGGTCAACATAATTTCCGGGCCAAATTTGTCTAATAATTTCAAAAGTAGGCCATAAATGTCTTATTTGAAAAATGAGGCCAAAACTGTCACTAACGCTAAACTTCGGGCCAAACTAGGGTATTAACCCTAATATAAAACATTATAAACAAACTAAAAATTTGTCATATTTAAATATAATATTTAACATTAATATCAAAATGTTTATATTTGAACCCAACAAATAATATCAACATCCATATTTAAGCAAAATACATTACAAACATAAAGACAAATTATCATATTTAAATACAATATTTTGTTAATTAAATTCATCAAAACAATATCATTTTGTTTAGGGTATGAAAATGGACTTGTAAGGTGGGCCACTGATTTTTCAAGTTTTGAACGATATTTAGCGATTTTGACCGGCGCTGACCAGCTTTAACTGACACTTCATACCGATGGTATTCCATTAGATTTTTTGATCGGTACCGATTGAACTCAGTTCCACCAACCGACATGACAACTATAGTAGCACATCTTGAGAATTGTATAAAAACTTACATGAAATTATTAGGGACATTATATCATAAATATAATTCGGTAATATCTATTTTTTATCCAAACTTTTTTCACATTGTTTTATATTATTCAAACCTATTAAAATGCTATTAATTAGCCAAAATTTTCTTAATGCATTAAAATATTAGCCATTTTTACGTTATCGTTAATGATTTTGTAACTTTTTTCTTAAAATACTAAAATTTTGGAATGTTAACCTTCATGTATCTCTTCCACATCAGTATCATGTTGCCAAGTCATTATTACTGACAAAATTGCTAACCGAAAGTTAACGTTTGGCTAATTTTTTAGTATTTCTATAAATTTAAATGTATATTGCATCAACAACATTGACTAACTAAATATTGAAGTTAAATAAATAATAATGATAAAAAATTCCCGGCCATTGCTAAAATGCTGCCTTTTTTATTCCCCAAAGCACCGGTAAGTTTTTGTATGTTTGGAAAATGGATCCTGGACAGGACAGCCCATCATATACATGAAGCCCAAAGGCAGACGCCGAGGCTGACTAAATACCTCCGGCCCAAATTTCCCACTCCACTGCAGTCCCCTCCATTCCATTTCTGGTTTTCCACTTCTCCTCCACACCTTGTTCATTGTTGTTCGAAGCGAAGAAGCTCCACGAACTGCGAAAAATGGCTACTGCCCTAGCTCGAATCTCTCGCAAGGCCCTAGCGGCTTCTCTCTCTCAGCACCGCCAGCTCATCGTCCGTGCCGTCGCCACTGAGGCGGCATCGTCGAGAACGATCAGTCCGTCGCCGGATCAAGTGAAATGGGATTACCGAGGTCAGCGGCAGATAATCCCGCTGGGCCAGTGGCTCCCCAAGATCGCCGTCGACGCCTACGTTGCACCCAACGTCGTCCTCGCCGGTCAGGTTAAGGTTTGCGACGGAGCATCTGTGTGGAATGGCTCAGTACTCCGGGGCGATCTCAACAAGATCACTGTCGGATTCTGCTCCAACGTTCAGGAGCGATGTGTCCTTCATGCCGCCTGGAATTCTCCAACAGGTGTGTGGATTTCTTCTGCTTCATGTGCAAATTTTTCTCTGTGTTGGGTCAATTAGTCGTTCATCGACGAGTTATTCAGCCTGCCTGGGTTTCAATCGAATAATCGCGATTAGACTAGGGTATCGAGATTTTAGTCATTGAGAATGGTAGTTATGATTTATGCCCAATTTGCTACAACAATCTGTCTTTGAGGTACGTGGTGGCAAAGTTTGAGGAACTCGGTTGGCATTTAGTTGAGAGCTGAAGAGTTTATGTTTTAGTCGGTGGAATGGCTTTGGAGCTGTCATTAGCCTTGTAAGACCCCATTTGTTGAGTTTTCGCGGTATAAAGCCTCTCAACTACTTGACTCGTGATGAAAACCTGTTTGAAATCTAGTCAGCAATACTCATAACTCGGCAGGTACAGTACATTCATGGAAGCCATGATTTTGATGGGTGCTAGTCTGCAGTTAGTATAGATCTGTGTCACTCTTTTATTGTATACTATGTGTTTGTTTCTTCTTAGATTGCAATCGCATTTAACTTCTCGTGTTGAAGGTCCCTTTGAAGTTGTTCGTGTGAATGTCTGGTTGATGCCAAAGTTACTTTCTGCATGCAGAATTTTAGTTTAGAGAGCTTTCCTTCACGATATGCATCTTTTTGATATCCCAGCTTACCTCTTCTTACTGAAGTTTCAGTATCTGGAGCGTTAACCTTTTAGATTTACTATGAAGAATTAGTTTGATATTCGATTTAGACTTGCTGGCTATTTCTATGTTTGAACTAGAATCTTATAGGTGGACTCAAATTATACTTACAAGGTATATTTTCTACATTTGGCCGGCTTGTCAGCAAATTTCTTGATCCTGTGTGCAAAAATCTAGATGTTTCTTTGTGCTAAACAAGTAGGACATTAGTAGTCATCTTTGAGCAGTTTCAGTTCAACTTGATGCAAGGATGTCTTTCTTTTGCTTCTTAAGAATATCATCCGACATTTACATGCCTTCCAATGGCACATGACAGGAGCACGGGTCCATGTTTTCGATCCAATGATCGAAGGCTTGCAGATGCTGATTCTGCTTTTCTGATTAGTTAATGATGCTCCTTTGATGTTACAGGACTGCCGGCCGAGACATCAATTGATAGGTTTGTAACCGTTGGGGCATACTCTCTGTTGAGATCATGTACAATTGAGCCAGAATGCATCATTGGGCAGCATTCTATCCTCATGGAAGGCTCTCTGGTGGAGACGCACTCCATTCTTGAAGCTGGCTCGGTTGTTCCCCCGGGGAGGAGAATTCCGACAGGCGAACTTTGGGCTGGAAATCCGGCGAGGTTTGTCCGGACTTTGACCCACGAAGAGACGCTGGAAATTCCTAAGCTCGCCGTGGCAATCAACGATCTAAGCAATAGCTACTTCTCAGAGTTTCTGCCCTATTCCACTGTTTACTTAGAAGTGGAGAAGCTGAAGAAGAAGTTGGGGATCTCTATCTGAAGATTGTTTCCCTTTGGCTTGTAATGCTCTCCATTTTTGGTATCCCAGTTTATCTTGCTTGGGAATAAACAGCTCTTGAACGCTACTCGTGGCTATTGATTTGTATTCCTTCTTCGTTATCCCCAAGGTTTGTGGGTTTTAACTTTTCACCAATGGAGCTGGGAGGAAATCTGAATATATATTTGTCGTTGATTTATCAAACTTCTTTCCTTTCGTGAAGAGCAGTAATTCGGCTAGGTTCCCATAAAAAGTGGCATAGGCTTTCGCAAGGAGCTAAACTCGTGGATGCATCACCACGAACTCGTCCACATCTTTGACACCTCTTGCTCCTTATTCTTCTTCCTCAATCCGCCTTTCTTTTTCTTCAATTTCCTCCTCTTGGGAACAATCAAGATCTTCACTTTCTTCAATTTTCACTTCCTCGTTCACCAACTTCCTTCTCTCTTCCTCTTGCTCTTCACTTACCTTTCCATTCATGTCTTCAAGCACGGTTTGAAGGGCAAGATGCCATGCAAGATCATACAAAGGATTCTCTTGCTCCTTTTCCTTTGTGACTTGGTCTTCAAAGTTGGTCTCGGGAAGGGAAAAGTATGAGGGTCGCCAATGAGACACATTTGATCATCCTCATCACGAGAGCTCTCGCGGATGAGTACTTCTCGTTTCACATAGTCTTCGTTGACCTTCCCTCCAACCTCCACTTCTTCTGCTAATTGTGAGAGGTGATGGCGTGCACAAACTCGTGCCAAGGGGTGGAGGGAGGGGTTGGAAATCCATATCGGAGCTCGTTCTTCCAAAGTTCTCACGGCTTGCCTCTCCGGCTTCCTCTCTTCCTTCAAACGGTAGGAGGCGATTGTGAGCGAGTTGGGCACATGCTTGCTTAACAAGCCATTCTAGCCTCTCCGTGTGTTGAAGGAGCTACTCCGATTCCCATAGAAAGGTTGAGTCGAAAGAATCGACAATTGGGAGGTCCATGCTAGAGCACACTTCATCAGTGCCCAGACAAATAGCTCCATCATGAGCTCTAATTTGCTCTTTGGCTCCGGTTGTGGAGTGGCACATGGTCTTTAGGTTTGTCCCACGAAAGCCTCCATGGCCAACTCCAACTTGGACTTCACCTTGAGTTGTGGAGGGAACCCCTCTTGATATACGGAAGCTTCTTGGTATCCCCATGAGCATGGTTGCTCTTCTTGGAAGGGGGTCGGTGTAGAACCCGGATCCTTGACTTCCCCCATTTTGATCGTCCCATGAAGTTTCGGGGTAACCACTCTCGGGTGGTGGTGGATACCCCCACACTTGGGTAAAATCATAAGGATCCATGATCCAATACCAAGAAACACAAAAACACTAAAAAGGAAAATCAAACACACACAAACCACCCTTCAAGACGAAGCGTGGTAAACAAAACACAAATGAAACACAAAAAAAATACAAAAAGGCAAGATAGAAAATGCTAAAGTAACACAAAGCAAGTTTTTCTGGATAACAGACCGTAAGGTTCCCCGACAACGGCGCCAAAAACTTGACTCACCACGGACTACACTGCGAATTAAATCCCGGCTAGAGCCCAAGTATAAACCCTAGTCGGGTGCAGTATAGGGAAATTATGTTTTAATTATCAAACCCGGGTCGGTCCATGTACCCCTACTTCAATCGTATAAGTTGTTATCTAGCACATGATTTTGGGTTTAAAACTAAGAAAAATACAAAATAAACAAACAAGTAAAGTAAATCAAGATTGTCCCAATGAGAGAAGAGTTCACCCGGGTATCGCTCCCCCTAGATACATATCAAGATCGACCGAAAAGAATGCAATTGTGTGAAGGTGTTTTCATACACTGTTAGGAGGGCGCAACAAGTGAAGGAAACCTCACTCTCTTAATCATTCGGTTAAGGAAATGTTTTCCGGCGAGGAAAATCTTGTGTTTCATTTCAATCAATGCACCTTTGACTTCTTGAACAACGAAAATCAACACGGTTCACTCCTCTCCGAACAATGTTTGAACGAGGGTGTTTGATTTTTTGATGGTTTTTTGGGAACAATCTACGTTAAATTACTACTACTCCTATGGAGGTTCAGTGAGAGCTCCGAAAACTAAGGGCTATGGCTAATTTGCAGAGAAAGGATAAAAGTTTGACATTGTGCGTCAAATGGTTGGCTGTGGAACCAGTTTACAATCTTAGTTTCTCCTATTTATAGCCACTAGGTGTAACTGCCTTGGTAAGTGCTAGCTGGCCTCTTGCTCCAAACCGCCTCGGGGCCCCTTGTCGCCACCTTGGTGACTAGTTGGTAACCGTCGCCATGGGTGCCCTTGTCCCGTCTTGGGGCTGGTTGGTATTTGATGGTCTCAATGCCGGGTTGGGTTGGTGTTGAGCCTTGTCGCCCTGTCATGACTGGATAGGGTTGAGCCTCTTTGCCTTAGCCTCCATGATGAATTCTTGATCACATCCTCGACAGCCCTGACGACTCCTCGCTCTTCATCTTGCTAGCCACCTCGATGAACAGTATTGCCTTAGCCTCCATGATGAAGTCTTGATCACATCCTCGACAGCCCTAACGGCTCCATGCTTCTCATCTTGCTTGCAACCTCGATGAACCGTCTTGATAGCTAGGCCATATTACCCAACTAGACAGGATGAGAACTTGACCCCCTTTATGCCCGAGTCTCCACACTTAGTCTTAGAGAGACTGTCATGGCACCAACTTGTCATCTTGGTATCAAGCCAATCTTGTCGGCTTGATACCCTTGCTACCAAGCCAAGCCTGCCGGCTTGGTCTCCATACTTAACTTCTGCAATCTTATCAAGTTGGTACTTTGCACACTGCTGGCTTGGTACCCCGTTAGGGGGGCCACCAAGCCTATCTTGGGACTTAGTCTCCATATAGCACCCTAAGGGGCACTACATCATGTCCATGATGACTTGGTACCCAACCGGAGTCTGCCTTGCCGGCTTGGTACCCTCTAGGGGTCTTGGTACTAAGGCTGCCTTGCCGGCCTGGTACCCCCTTAGCTCCATACTTAGCCAAATTTACCCTCTTAGGGTCTTGGTACCCTGTTGCCTGGCTACCAAGCCTATCTCGCCGGCTTGGTACTCTGCTGGCTCCATACTTAGCCGATTTTCATGTCTTTTGGTATCAAGCCTGCTTTGCCAGCTTGATACCCCTTTGGCTCTATATAGCCAAATTTCATGTCATGGTACCAAGCCCTGCCTTGTCGGCTTGATACTCTGTTAGTTGCATACTTAGGCTTTTAGAATCTCATCAAGTTGGTAGTCTGCCCGTGTTTTTACTGCCGAACCTGTTCCCCTATATTCAATGCTTCGTTTCTCCCTCGTCCGGACTCCGAATCAGTCGCCGTTTGATCCCAGGCACTCGTAGTCTTGTCCTCTTTCTTTTCATGACAAGCTTGCATGATTCTTTGTCCATAAAGTGAGGTATAAATCCATTCTTCTTCAGGTCAAGCCAGAGTTTCTTCTCCCGAATCGCCAATTGTTCTCTGATTGACTTGAAACTCGCGCCTATGCTTTACTTTATGTGCTAGGACCTGAAATGTGACAAAGGAACACAACCTAGCGTAAAATAGGCCAAAGAAGCAATAATGAAAGCTTAAACGATCAAGAAACAAAGGGGAAAACATGTGCAAATATCGAGTCATCAATTTCACACCCCGTTGTGTCGCCTTGTTTCCAGACTTAGTTTTTGGATGGCCCCTATTTGGTACTCGGTCGTTTGGCACCCCGTTGGCCGCCTTGTTTCCATACTTAGTTTTTGGGAGCCAAATTTCATACCAAGGGGTGGAGGCATCGTCCGGCTATGGAGGCCAAGTAGACGGGTCGGCCATCGTATAAGGAAGAAGGGGTTTGGTGACTTAGTTTTTGGGAGCCAAATTTCATACCAAGGGCTGGAGGCATCGTCTGGCTATGGGGGCCAAGTAGACGGCTCGGCCATCGTATAGGGAAGAAGGGGGTTGGCCACTTAGGCCCAGAAACCCAACCCAAGAAGGCCCAGCTAGCTCTTTTAATTATTAATATTGAGCTGGGTTTATAAATCCATTAAATCTCTTTTAGTTAATCGATGTGGTACAAGCTGATTTTTTTATGGTAAACAAATGCCCCCACAACTTAGTATATAAGGATTAATGCACTAAGTTGTTGACACCATCTAGACCACTTAAAATTAAGTACTAGCTTCATCAAGGCATACATATCCACCTAAGCCTTCCGAAACTCATCATGGCCTAGATTTGACTTAATTAAAAGCCAATAATAACCAACTTGATTCCCAGCCCAAAACTTAACTTCATTTCACCATCCCAACCACCTTGGACACGTGACACAAAGCCATAAAGAGAAAGGTTGTCCTTGATTGATTGATCACCATCCTAAATGAAACAAAACACTTAGATTGTTTCATGGGGATCCATCATGGCCATGCAGTGGAGGCCAATTAAACTTCCTACTTGGCTACCAAGCCAACTTAAAACAAACTCGTTCCCTTGCCTTACCATGCCCGATGACCACACCTCTCTCCTGTAGCCAACCGGACTAGATGCTAGCAATTAGGATTTTCTTTACATATATTCTCAATCATTGATTAACGGAGTAGAAACATGACGGAGACAAATTCCGTCTTCGACTTGAACTTGGCCTAATGGCCGATTCATTTTTTTATTATGGCTCCACTAACTCAACCAGCAAGCTAGAAAAGGTCTCTTGATTTACATTATCTCCTTACCATGTTTGGTTAGGATTCTTACTCTCTTTCTCCCACTGGGTGTGCCAATTTGTTTTCCGGCGAGGAAAATCTTGTGTTTGATTTCAATAAATGCACCTTTGACTTCTTGAACAACGAAAATAACCATGGTTCATACCTCTCCGAACAATGTTCGAACGAGGGTGTTTGATTTTTTTATGGTTTTTTTGCGAACAATCTAAGTTAAATTACTCCTACTCCTATGGAGATTCAGTGAGAGCTCCGAAAACTAAGGGCTAAGGCTAATTTG